ATCGAGCCCTGCTTATGATTGTGGAAAGGGTGTTATCGCTTTTATCATCAAAAGCATTACAACTGTTAACACTCTATGCTTGCAGTTATGTGACTTTCTGTGGCAATTTCAACCTCCTGGTGTCTACAAGTTGACACATTCACATGCGGGTTAGCAGCGAACTCAGATGACCTCACATAAATTTCATGTAATCTATTTTAAAAGCCACGTAAAAACGATCTCCACTGTTGCGACCGATGAAGGCTATCTTTGTAAGTTTACAATGACACAAGTATGCGGGTAAATATGATTGTTCGATAGTGAGACACCGCTGGAATGAACAATTTAGTTAAAAAGAAACTCAAAGTGTTCAACACAATAACGGGAATTCAAAACGCGTGAGGGCTGTGATCCAGGAAGCATTCTATGCAGGTTGAAGGTCGAATTGATAACTGAGGTATCACATACTATTTCGTCACATTGTTGTGCACAAAGTCAATATTACATGTACACATCAAACGGGTGCATGTTATCAAGGTTAATGGCTGGCAATTAAGTACACTAGCTAGACGGTTGGGAGCGTGTTGTTTAGCTATTGAATAAGTGAGTATTATTTTATGCCGCATTTGGCAATACTCCAGTAATATCCCCGTGGGGAAAATGAGCACTTGAGTTATTTTAGTATTAGCCTAGTACTTGAATTTACAAATCTGATGAGGAAGGATGAAAAATAGTTAACATATCAACGCGGACATAAACCCAAACAACAATGAAACACTAAAATACCTAAATAAGTAAGAAATGTGTGAGCCAACCAACCTACCTAGTCCAGTGGTTAGGAGTTCGCTCGTCACGACGAAGACCCGGGTTCGAATCCCCACAAGGTACAATGTGTGAAGCCCATTTCTGGCGTCTTGTGCGATACTGCTGGGATATTGCTAAAAGCGGTGTGAACCAATACTGACTTTCGTCATTCATCTATCTAGTCCGTAACATGTCTGTTGTGTAAGCTGCAAGAAAACCCAGTGTCATGTACTGACCAGTCCCGCTGATAGATACACACAGAACCATCATCACGCTTCCTGTTGTAATCCGGGCGTTCAGGTTATGGACACATGTCAGTTGTTATCTACGTTCTCTGAACAGCCCCACATTGCTGTAAATATTCCATTGTACCTCATGTAACACTAACATTCTTCATATCTCACAGATTTAGTCATCAATGTCCATCGCTTCTTCCTGCTCCTCTTCAGTAATATCCATATTGTCAGCAATAATCTCTTGGACACTCAAACGAATGGGATGGGACCCTGATAGGCGGACCGAACGTTCAGGTAGATCCGACATCTGGTGTAAAATGTCCTCAACTTCCCTCTCTCGTGGAGACATCGATTTGATGCAATGGATGATGTCCTCGATTGGTTCCAATTCTTCCTTGAAACCATATGTTTCAGAGAGACACTTAGCATCTTGTGCAAACATTAAAGCTTGTGCAGAAAACTCACCAGGATTTCTTGAAGGACAGATACGTTCTTTGTGAAAATACAGCACGGCGTTGCCAAGACAGTAGAACATGTATCTCCTGTTGTTGTAGTTCTTTCTGTCTGGTCCAGCTTTCTTAAAGCAGGCCTCTGCCTCTTTGATGTCACTCTCCTAAACAACATAGTCAGTACGCCGACCAAACACACCAATGCCAAGGAAACAAAAAGCCAGTTTCAAATAGAATATTCTACAGAATTCATCCCGCATATCGGCCGGTGTCTCTGGGGAGTGGACTTCTATCGCTTCAAGTATGTTCTGTTTCAGTTTCAACTTGTTGTCTTCAGTCGGTCTGGCTTCATACAGCTGCATCAGGAGATTGACGTAAATGTACATCACCATTCCAGTGTCCTTGCATGGCTGAATCAACTGCATCTTCTTCCTGGAATCTTCTACAAGTCGGATCCCCTCCTCGACATCCGACAGATTTCCTTTCATTGCAATAGCTGATCCTTTGCGAGCAAGAAATATCATTGAACCTGCTTCGGAGTGAGTCATTGTTGCTACCAATGTTTCCATTTGAGATATGATGTCCATTTGATCGTGCCCTTTGTCATAAAAGAGTCTTCGTTTTCCCAGTTCTGATTCAAGCATTTGGAAAAGAACGTCAGGGTCATTTGGGTATTTATGATTCATAGTTTGTATTATACTATTGAATGTAGGCAGTTCCTGTTCTCCTCTGTTGCAAATGACCCCAGTTTAAAACTTATGGTTGCCAACATTTTCTTTTTCTTGTCCATTATATTAACTCTGTGAGGCTGTGCCAGATTTGACCCTAGTATTCTGTTATTCCAAGCTGTCTGTTTCAGTGCATCGATTTTGTCATTCAGCAACGAGGCTAGGTAAACGTGACTTCGGTTGTATTCCAGTGCCTCTAGGAAAAGTGGTATGATCCGTTTCTGTCGGATTGCCTTGAGAAGTGCCCTGTTTTTTTCTGGGTCGATTTTAATTGCACGAATTTGCTTGCATTTTTGTCTTGTCAGCCCATTCCGGCTCATGAGGAAATCCAAAACATTGTCTTCAGGGTCAAGTCTACAAACAAATTCAACCTGCAGTTCACGAAGTGCTCTCTCTTCAGCACTTTCCCTTACTGCTTGGCCACACAGAGATGAACTTGCCATTTCCGAAGTCCTAGTTGTTCATCATGTGTAAAGGTGGTATCCACTTATGTAGCTAATTACAAAGCCATACTCGGAGGAGTCTTCCCCAGTTGTACTTCTGATACAACGCATGACACTTGAAATAACACTTGTTTCTTTTAGCGTCAAGGGCGTAAGTAAACAAACCCATTATATCATTGTATTGATCTCATGTCATACTTGACTAGGCACCAGAGCATTGCGAGGGTAGGTGTCTCGGATATAGCAATGTTGCATCTGGTATACTCACCTTAATCAAGGACCCTCAAAGTCGTTAACTGAATCTCATTCCACAATAGAAATCCGCAAATCGGAAACTCAAATTGTCATCTTACGAGACAACAGATCGAAGTCGATGATGGTTCCTGGTTGTATGAATCTTTTCCTAAGCACACATCCACTCACATTGTCTTTCCTTTCTCAAATACTTCGTATCTACTGACATAGCTGTCCAGCAAGGTATTCAGTATGTCAACAGAGCACATTGGAGCAGGTTTTAGCCAGGAGATGGTCATTATACTTTGTTACTTGTCGCTAGACAGGAACAACTTCAAGCAAGCAGTTATGCTTTGTATTCACAAGTCATACTGTCTGGCCTGGTGAACCGTTACCAAACATCTTAGCAGGTAGTTATAGATTTAAGTAGTCTCGTGGTGTAGTCAAGCTTCATTGTCCAATGACAAAATGACACAGTATTCAATGCCTCTTATAAAAGATCCACGTCGAAATCAGCAGTGATTCAACAGAAAAAACCACAGAAATAATTCTGAAACATGATTGTAACCACAAGTGAATTAGCTGGTTAGTTCTTTAGCTGTTGTTGAATTGAATAAACAGAATCTCACGGAAATAAATGTGTCGGGTACAGTGACACCCTGTTAACATATCAGTGTAATTTATCCCTGTACCTATTAATACATTCCATGGGAATTCCGGTTTAGAATGATTCGTCAGCACCTAAATTGTTCGAATGATCACGCTTGGTTTCTGGAAAGTATGTTATTGTACGTGCACGCTTGCTTAGTGTATCAATCACTCGTTTATCAGATCCAAACACGATCTACAGACTGCAATATTGCATAAGGTGTCGTTAAAAACAGACCGATCTATAAATCAACTTACCACCAGAGCGATTAATGTGTTTTGAAGTGTGTAAAACACAGGAAAAAATAAATTTGAAAGGTATAAAGTGACTAGATCATCTGGATGGTATTTTTAGTCACAATGTATTTGTCTTGAATGAAAATGCTGATGGAGCCCAGAGCAATCCTTAATTTATGACTGACTCAATCTAGACTTGCCAAATCATTCTATACTTGAGTAGGGCTCCTATTTAAATTATTCGCTTTGGTCTCGGATAGAGACTAACGGTGGCACGGGAAATGATGATTACATAGGTCTTTGGAAAAAGTCCATGTACAGTTTCAGATATATCCAGACATATCTTCGAATTTTCTGTCCCTTTCGACACTAATGTGAATTGAAAGATTCAGGAAAAACATGGCAAATACACGGATCCCTCTTGCGAAATGCCAAGCTTGCATCCCGGATTCCATGTTGTCCGATTCACTCGTGTTCTTGTTGCCTTAGGACAGTGGGGTAGCCTAGTAGTTTAGGTGTTCGCTCGTCACGCAGAAGACCCGGGTTCGATTCCCCACATGGACACAATGTGTGAAACCTATTGATGGTTTCCCGTGCCGTGATAGTGCTGGAATATTGCTAAAACTAAACTCACTCACTCACTCTCGTTGCCTTAGGTTTAGTCCCTCTCAATATAAGCAGACTTGTATTTTCTGCCTGCAACACAGCTCTTCTGATACTCTTGGCTGCGTCCAAAAGGGACAAGGACCCTGAGCTGATGATGAGCTTAAAAAGATGTCACCAAATGTGAGTGCGCCAGGATCACCCGAAACCTGCCTTCCGCGCTTAATGACTTCAGCCGGTATATCGTAATAATAATTATAATAATTTGAAAATCATAATTACAAATCATAATGGATATAGAAGATGATACAGACGATGTACTCATTTGAAAACATTTAATCAATCATAAATATTGACATCGTGTTATAGTTATGAGGTGAGGTGAGGTGAAATTGGGTTTAACGTCGCGCTGGAGAATATTTCGCTCATATGACGACGTGCATGCGTGTGTATGTGTATGTGCGGCTGCTTGTACTAGCCCAGACTAAAGCTGGTTTTATAGTGCTAGCCCACTGAGATACCATGCCGCAGTGAAGCATGAATACCCCACTCAGACACATTGTACTGACTCCGAGCCGACCAGTCCTTGTTGTACCCATTAATGCCGAGCGCCAGGCAGGGACCAACAAGTACCATATTTTAACGTCTTTTGGTATGACGCGGCCGGGGATCGAACCCGCGACCTTCCGCTCTCTGGGCGGACGCTCTAACCACTACACCACGGAGGCGGTCGTTATAGTTATGATGCTATAATGACAGCAGAATATCAGACACTGGTTGAGACGTCCTAAGTACCAATTCATGATCATGTGCAACTTCGACTGTAATGTATCAACATCTTTCCAGCCATATTTTGTTGAACCTTCAAGTTCATACTACCGCATCGCACCAGCAGTTTTGTTGATGTGTCATACGCACAGGAAAATGATATCCATTGCCTGTTATCAATATGAACAGAAAACAGTAACACAAAAAGCTAACAAGACCACTACAGCACAATAAAGAATATGTTTGCAATAATTTCTATTGGCTTCTCTCCCCAAACCTTTCATTTCAGGACCCCATTGGTTTGATGTTTTCTGCAACACATTTTCCCAAAGCAGTGCATTTAACTCATTATCAATTTCATATTGTCGTGCATTCCTTTGTTGAAGCTCGATACTTTCAACCTCCTCTTTAAGGTCACCACTGAGTTCTAGAATTGGTCCTAGCTCCTTCACATATCCACAGCATGTTGCCTTTTGTTCCGCCATATTGGCAAAATCCAAAGCATCCCTCTGATTTCCTCGTTTCCGACATAGAACCGACTTTGCCATGTAGTAAAACATCTTCCTTCTGTTGTCGAACTTTTCTTGCTGTGAGTCTATGTTCTTTAGACACGCCTCAGCAGATCTTAAATCATCCTCGGAAGTAACACAGCCTTCTATGCAGTTTCCAAACAATCCAATACCAAGATAGCAGAACACAAGTTTCAGGTACAACATCCTGTAATAGTCCTCCCGAAGCAAGGGCAAACTTTCGGCAAAGTGGAGATTGATAGCTTCGTCGATTTTATTAATGATATCCCGTTTTATATTCAGCAGAGGATTGACTTCGTACATCTGAAGAAGGATGTTTATCTGTATATACAAAACCATCCCTGTATCTTTGCAAGGTTCAATCCTCTCAGCAAGCGCTCGGGCATCTTCAAGCATCTCCATACCCACTGCAAGGGATTCCTTCATTGTCCTGGCAGATCCTTTGCGGGCGAGAAACATCATTGTTGCAGCTAAAGGCTGGGACGATGTTTTCAGGAGCTTCTCCATCTCGTCAAATATATTCCCTCTATGTAAGTCAGTATCATACACAAGTCTCCGGCTCTCTACTTCAGCATCTAACAGAGTTAACATGACATCTGAATCACGGCAATACTGAGCTTTGTATTTTGTAACACAATCAGAAAATTCCTTTTTCTTTCCATCATGGGACATCAGTTTCAAATGATAATGCAGCTTCGTCAGAGTCTTCTTTTTCCCATCCATAATAGCAACCTTTCTTGGTTGTTGAACAATGTTTTCAGTGGGTTCTTTTGCATCTGTCTCAATATCAAAGCCATCCTCATTGTCCACGTATTCTATTTTTGCCTGTTCTTTTCCTGGATGTACAGCTTGTTCTCCGTCAGTAAGACATCTGTCACAATCCTTCTGAATAGTCCCAACATACCCAAGAACAGTGGTAGCATCTGGATCTGGAAGATATGTTCCACTGCTGATGGTGTTGTGAGAAAGAACAACAGAATCATCACTGAAGTCAGATTCGCAGCGTACGTGATCTGCTGATGGAAGATCACTGTGAGCTCTAGGGCCAGGGTGCTCTTGTTCACGAAGGTCTTTGATCGTCTGTTTCAGTTTTCTAGCAAGATAAGGATGACCGTTCCTACATTCAAGTCCTTTGATGAATAAAGGTACAATGGATTTCCTGATGACGTTGTCAATGAGCAATGTAGCTTGACTCTGTCTGGTTTCCCTCGACATGATGTCTTCATATGTCAGGTCAGAAATGCCCCCTTCTTGTAATAAGAAGTCCAGAACATAATCAGAAACGGTGAGTCTCCTCACAAATTCAACCCGAAGACGTTGTACAGCACTTTCTTCTATGGACTCCATAAGAACTGACACCTGTCTTTCTTTTACAGTCCTCAAGTTAGAAACCCCATGATTCATCACTGTCTAATATTCTTGAATCTTGTTTGTCCTTGTTTAGCAAGCATGGGTTCAGATATTAGGCATAAGGCATCCCAGGCCTTAATCAAGATACCTGTAAAAGGTTGGTTTGTTATTGCTAAATGGTGCCAATTTATCTGCTCCTTGTAAGAAAATTCAGATATCGGATATTTTGACTACCGCCATGGTGTTTGTAAAGCATTCATTTTACCTGCATTGTTTTTAACGCGGACAAAAATGAACGTCTGAAAGCATGGGGTTACTTGTTTACAGTTGCCAGAAAAGTGTTTTATCGCCGTATTAGGACATGCAGGTTTAATATTGTTTTCTATGTCTCTAAAACGTGGTAGTTTACAGCAAACACTGAGTGACTAAATCCATTGCCATGTATCCATTCAGATATACAATATAGACACATTCCAGTTGTTCGTAACACTTGTATCAATCCATGACAACAATGGTGGCATCAGTGTAGAGATTTCAGTTTTCCAGTTTCCATTGTGTCTCAATTTGCTCCTTGATCGCAGCAACCAGTTTGATCTTTCGTACGCCATGGAAATTTAATCCTGAAAAGATTAACGTTAAAACGTTTTTTTGGTCCTACTTCAATATTGACACAAAGGTATACATATTCAGTACATTGCTTTTCCCTACCGATTAATGACCACATTATTTTATTGATGTAATTCTTAACAATGAAACCAACGTGAGTCACTGCAATGTTCCACACAGCTGGTTACAAAAGGTCGCCATGACCTTGTGAGATACACGCAACTGTACAAAAGCATTAGAGTTCATTCTAAACGAGATATTTACATCCGTATTGCTCTTTCTTGTCAGGAAATCAACTGCTAAATTCTAAATTTGGAATCCTAAAGATACTAGATGAGTAGTTGTTAAACTATTGTCAAATAACCTGATTTGGGTCATATCCGAGTGTCGTTAAACGGCTGTGAAAGGGAGTTAAAATCGTTTACAAGGCAAAACTGACAGGCGATTAAAAATGTTTAATGTTGTATACTGACTTTGCGAGCCTTGTCGCATAAACCGTGGGCCTTATGCTTTTGTGTTTGTTTGTTTTATTTGTGGTTTTTAAACGTCGTTCTCAGCTATATGACAGCGGTCTATAAATAATTATGGATTGTTCAGACAACCGAGACACTGAGATAATGATAATCGATCCACGCGAGTCACACGTATCAACCAAGTCAATAAGTCTATCCACCCGATCCCGTTAGTATTTAGTCTTTACCTTGCTGTTAGAAGTATTCGCATTTTACGTACTCATACTTACATTTCTCCTGTAACTTCCGTACGTGGAAAAACAGTTTCGATATACTTGCTCGGTGTATGGCGTAATGCAGGAAGCCCGATACACCAACCCTATTACGAATAACCACGTCAGGGGCCACCTGTCGTAGGCATTTCTCGAGAAGACAGTAACATTCTATACGTATATTGTAAGCGGTCCGTTCAACGAGGCTGTGTCGTGTGGTTATTTGAGCATTATAACCTATGTTTATTTCAATGAAACAGGTTACGGTGCACGCGTATGAATAGGTCAGACAGATGACGTGGCGGGTTAGCGAACAATACAGTCAATATCCGTTTCTCCATACCGTATTTTATCTACTGGACGTTCGGGTGTTGAATAATTTCGCACATACCTTTGACCAAATATCAGTGAGAGGCCCGGAATCCACTCAGTTCAGTTCTGGCACAATAGCAAGCCACAACCAAACCCAGTCCTTCTTATAATACGTGCAACAGGAGTCATTCATTGTTGGGGGTGGTGGGGTAGCCTAGTGGTTAAAGTGTTCGCTCGTCAAACCGAAAACCCGGGTTCGATTCCCCACATGTGTACAATATTTGAAGCCCGTTTCTGGTGTCCCCCTCGATGATAATGCTGAAATATTGCTAAAAGCGGCGTAAAACTAAACCCACTCACTTATTCATTGTTGTTATTGATATATCGACCATTCACTGATTTCAACAAATTAAGGACCTGACCTAAACTAAGAACATGTCGCTTCATAGGGCTCCGTCCTTTTTATGACAAAGCGTATGCGAGGTGTCAGATTGAACCCTGCACCTATTCGAATAAATACGGTAAACATTCTAATTCCCCGGAAAGTGCTTGATATGAAATGACATGAGCTATTTGTGATCCCTTTCAAACGACGAGTACTATGGACATCCCCGTTAGCTGGCTGTTGAATGTATGATCCACAGTGTGGACTATATTTTAGACACCAGGAAACATGCTATTAATGTGTTTTGTTTGTGTATTTGATGTTTCACCTCGTTGTAAACAACCAAGTTAGGACCAAACAAGGATCACATGCCGCTATCCATGCACGTGCATGTGACATGCATGTCAGACCACCCGATTCCGTAGTACCCCTCTTACGACAGGCGTAAGTCCCAAAACGTTCAAGGTAAATTTATACTTACCACATTTTTTAACGTAGTATTTGTTTTATTTTAAATTGTGGCTAAATTTCCCACAGTAGCCAGCGGATGAAGGGATGGTGTAAATACAACTAGGGTCCATGCAGGTAGCAAAGGTTCTGTAAGTCCCCATTGTCTCCATCCTCCATAATGGCCAGGGTATACGTTGCGATAAATCTCCACTAAACCCTGGATGCATCTACGGCTCGGCCTCATGATTTTATTACCTCCATTGGCTGGTTTTATCCAATCAGGTGTCTACGCTGGATAGTTGACCGTACCAATCACAACTCACTTTCGCTTCTTTTATCTAACCGATTAAACTTAGCAACATAATTGTTGCAGAGGTACTCTGAAAGAGGTAAAAAGAGTTCTTGCATATATTTTTAAGGTTTCAGACCTGTCAATTTGTCTGTATGATTTCCCCAAAAATCAGAGTCGCACTGCGAACAAACCTTCGCGGCTGCGACCGCTATCTTTGTTGACACTGGCAAGCTCGGTTGTAACGGCGGCTTAGCTGATTGGCTACTGTGAGAATGCGGAACCAGCAAAGGGAGGTAATAAAATTATCGGGCCGAGCCATAGATGCATCCAGGGTACTAGTGGAGATTTATCGGAACGTATACCCTGGAGATTATCGAAGATGCATGGTCCCTAGTATGGTGACTTACCTTCAGTTGCTGGTAATCTCCAGCCCGTTTTTATATACTGTATTGTACATAAAATTTGTTTAATTTTACAGTTACATGCTAGTTTTTTCTCTATCTGTGACAATGTAGTTATTTTACTGTCCCTCGTCGACGGAGTTTTTATAATTTCATTGCATTTATTATTAATTTGTAATCTGTTAAAGTCACGATTATGGCTGAAACATTGCCCATGTGACTATAATTCTTAACTGACTCACTCACTCTTACGACAGGCATAGGTTGCTGAAGATCACTTCTAAAAAGGTTCTGCACGGGATAACTGACACTTACACAATCACAATCACTGTGTTGTTTTGATCGCCTTGCACCAATCGCTGACTGGGTTTCGGGTTACAACCTGGGTGATGTTGCGTCATCGTTAACTATTGATAAGCCCAGACGGTTATTGATTCACTGCTATATATAGTCCTGACATGCTATATGGCCGATGCGGCGTGAACAAGTCAAAACATTGATTACACAACAGTCTCGTTTCCTGCTGACCTGCTGACTGGATTCCGTCCTATTGCGCAACTTAATACAATATCATGTCAAGAATTTTTAGACCAACTCATTTAACTGGATATATAAATATTGATCAGTATTATCTGATACATCTAATCACGTGTATGTTGCAACACTAAGCTCCTTCTTATCCTTGCAAACACGTCGTGCAGCGTGCTCTGTAGTACAGCCTGCTCTGACAAACGGAAATCTGGAAATCGTGGAAACCTCAAAACGAGGCTCGGCCGCTAGAAAGGTTTGGCGATCTTGTACGGCCCTGATATTATATCAATCACATAGTACTTTACAAACATACATTTAATAAGCGCAAGGAACACATAACAGGTGTAACCAGTGAGCCAGTTGAATTGTGAATCATTTTGCGACCTAATCAAAACATGGACAGTCTGTGACGTCTTAGTTAACGCCATGCTGCTTAAGCCTCGCCATAAAATATAGAAATACGATTGTTTTAAAGTATAAAATTAAAATTCATTTGTAAATACCATTTTCTTATGAAAAAAGGAATTGGAATTACGTGTAACTATAGTTGTTTGTAGTGTCTCTTTTTTACTTTCACACGAGAAAACTCGGTCATAGGTCATAGTCTGAATTGGTTTATGAGCCTCATGTTTCGGTTTGATAAACATTGCAGGCGAACATACATACCATGGCCATTGCTGTATGTCAGTTATAGATGGTAATAATTAGTCGTAGTTACTCAAAGTCTCTAAATTGTAATGAAGGAAGGGAAAGAATCCTTCCAAAGTTGAATGTGAGATGAATATAGGCCAGAGATGAAAAAGGGGTATATAGGATGTTTGAGTTGAAAAGGGGATGAGTTGTGGCTACTAGGTCTGAAAGGCTGCTTGGGCTGACATGTTGATGGCGCCAAGTAATTAATTTTGTTTAAGCATTTAAACTTAGAACGCTGGGATATTTGCAGGACAGTTCAAATTTTTCTGATGCAGTTCCTTTTTTTAATTTCGAGACAATGGTATTTTAGCTGACAGTATATTTGCGTAAATACACATTTAAGCGTTCAACCTCTGTTTTATCATGGAGTGTTCGGGAAAACCAAAACACGTTCAATACTCTGGGTTTTGGTGCCTGCAATCGTGTTAAGTCTAGTGAAGTTTTGTAAGGGCATTTAAAAGTTTGACGAACATGAATACATGACATGTTTTATGGATAACAACTTCTTTTTAATTCTTTTCACGACGTTTCGGAGCGAATTCTTGCTCCTTCATCAGGTGAAACATGTATTAATGTTCGTCCAACTTCTAAATGCCTTTCAGGTGAAAAAGAATAAAAAAGAAGTTGTTATCCATGTATATGATTTAAACATATTTTTATTCATGAAGATGAATTGGGATTGGTGAACAAGCATTACTGCTTATATTAACACCGCTCCCAATATACTATCCATGTATATGTGTCATGTATTCGCGTTAAGTTTAGGATTCAAACTTGATACAGCGTATCCTGACGTTAAGGAAAGGCCACTTGCTCCACCGTCCATGTACAAGAAGAATAAACGAAATAGACAATGATAAAATTTAATGAAATGATAAATAATACAATAAATATTAAAATAAGTAAGCTTATTCGTTGGATGATGAGACGATACATTTTCACGCGAAAACATCCACATGGGAAGACCTGAACATGTATAAATAAATAACGATATGGCATGAATGACGGACAACACATAATATACATGTTCCATTGTATCAGTTCAATACATTTCTGGAGAAATTATTTTCGGGATTCCTGGAATTCCCCCGGCCATATAGCATTTTGTCACTTGGTAGTAGTGTTCTTAAATAATGAGAAGTCTTTACTACACTACCGCGCAAAAAGACAGCATACATCCATGTTTGATGGTTGCTAAAATTGAAACCAGTATCAAATGATATATTCAATAATGACGTATTTGACACGAATCGTTGTTGTGTTATGGAGCTAGTATTTCGACGATTGATTTTAACTTTGTGAAGTTTTGATAACTTTTGTAATTTTTGGGTCACACACAATTTGTAAATTTCTTTTGCCCGGCACTTTATCTACTCATGTACAGTTATCATCAAGACTGAGCAAGTCTGATTCGGTTTCGTATTTCCGCATTTAAGGCTTTTGCTTTCGTTTTTCTTCTCAGACTATTCAAAGCGAGGTACTTCCTACGGGAGTCGTACTGTCCTTTCTGACTTCGGTCTTGCCGTTTGTTCGACCTAGTTTTACGCGCATGCGCTTTAGTATCACTCTCGGAAACACTCATGTCTTCCGTGTCACAATCTGTAAGTTCTAATTCAGTGTCCGTGTGTGTTCTGACACTGTCCATAGACACTGTATTGTCCGTCCTCTTTACACTGATCACCCTGGGGGATACGACGCCTTCTCTGTCTGAAGCGGCGTGACCCTCGACGTCGGTGAAGTCCTCTACCGGTTCAAGGTCAGAGAAGCAGTTCCGGTCCTTCTCCAGTAGGATCCTTGGTGTGAATAGCTTCTCTTCTTCCTTCTCCATGAACTTCTTCCTGATCTTCGTCGCCCTTTTGGCACTAATTGGTTGAACTAACGTTGTAAAATCGCCGCCATGGTTTGTCTCGAACTCTGCAGATTTGGCCGTGGACCTTCCGCCGTTGACCTTCGTCAGGGGCAGCGTGGAATAACCGTCTCTCCTGGCAAAGGGACACCCATCTGAGGTCTGAGGTCTGACTTGGTCTCCTGATGGTGGTTTCGTGTCCTTGCTGTCTTCCTGAAAACCTTTGTTTATGACGCCATTCTTGGGTTTACTTTTTCTGGGAGGCTTTTTGACCCGATCCGAAACCGGCCCCATTATATCTTTCAACATTTTGTCTATTTTTTTCTGTTGCTTAGCAACGGAAATGACGGGTTCAGTTTTGGGTTGCTCCGCTTTTACAGTTTCGTTGGAATTTTGATCAAACACATCTATGCTAAACTGGGCGTTATTTCTCGGAGGCAACTCTGAAGTGAAGTTTCCTAATTTCAACATCTGAATGGATTTACGCACAGCTTCTTCATCCGGTGGTTCAATCACAGTTTCAATATCTTTTATATTGCTAAATTTACTCTTGGTGTAATTGATCTTCACCTCGTCCTCAACATTAGGATGTTCTAATATGCTATCACAATGCACGTCGGCTTTTATGTCCATTTTAGGATCTTGTGACCCCGATGCTGACTCCAATCTTGAACTTTCGTCGATCGTATCAGTTGTCTCCCTCTGCACTTCCGGCTTTGGTTCATCTGACATTGCTGTCGAAATGGTTCTCTTTTCTGTCCTATTTCGTTTATTGTTGAGTTTGTAATTTACTATTTTGTTACCCGGAATGGAATCGACTGGCTTGTCGGACGTTTTCTCGCGTGAGATTTCGCTGTCTGGACCAGATGACATAATACACGCTCTGTCTTTGTCCTTGAAAACACGGTGTTGCGCAGTGGTATCTCTGCATGACGTCACAGTCTCGTCTTCGCCGCCTCGTTCTGTATCCTCCAGATCTATGACACCACAGTCGCCGTTGTTTTGTTTGTTCTCCTTGCTGTCGGTGGCCGTCTGTGTGGACGTCGTGAACGTGACTGTGTTTTTTTTCTTCACCCGACGGCCTGACGGAGTAGGGACGGTCGACAAGGCTTTCTCTGAAACACAAGGGTAAAAACTTATATATGTCTCAAGCAGTGAAGAGGATGGAGAGAAGGGGCTTTGATCTATAATTTAAGATGACGAGATTGGAATATTCGTTCACTGTGTGGAGGAGATGTGGGGTGAAAATTGTTTTAAAGTTGCGTTCAAGATAATTCCATTTTTACAACCCGTGAAGATCATGGTTAGAATTGGTTTCAGCTTGCTTGTCGTAAGAGGCGACTAACGGGGTCGGGTTGTCGGACTCGCTGGCTTGGTTGACACATGTCATCGTATCCCAACTGCGTTAGATGTTCATGTTGTTCATCAGTGGATTGTCTGGCTCAGACTCGATTCTTTACAGACCGTCGCCATATTGCTGGAATATTGCTGAGCGCGGCGTTAAACAACAACCAGAGCAAACACTTTTTACAACCTGTTTGTCTTTGTGTCCCCAGTTGTGCTAATCTGGGCTCGTGCCGGTTTCACAGTGCTGGCAGTATACTGACTCCTAGCAGACCAGGGGATCGCACCCCGAACTTCCGCTATCCAGACAGACACACTGTACTCTAGTCTGTCTCACAGTCCCTGGACCACATTAATTCCTCTCTGCATTGCTAAAGCCTAAATAAAGCAAGTCTAGATTTCCTCAGGTTCTGAATCTCTGGTCTCCCTTTTCAATATAAATTGGCTTGTTTCTTACTATCAAAATTATATATATTCAGAGACTAAGCCTTAGTCTAACTGTACTCGTGAGGCGGCATAGGCGTTGTCAGTTCATGTGAAATACGTCATCAAAATATGTTGACCTACTTAACGACATCTCATGGAAGTAGATAGGCAGTTCCACTTAACGTAATGCAACATAGGATTCAATTGTCGCCAATTCAGAAATGTATGGAGCAACCTAATGTTGCTATCATTTAAACAAAAGGGCTAAATTAATGAAAAGGAAGGGCTTTGTTTGTACAATAAACTAGGAAAGTAACGTCATAAAACTTGTCAAATCGTAACAGTTAAGTATAAGGCTCTAATTCTAATAACATCCTTCTAAAGTGGCATGCTGTGATTCCAGACTGTTGGGTTGGATTTGTGAAAGCATACATCGATCAAAACATTTTTGTCAAGGAATCTCGATTGGAGAAGAACGAGAGTTCTCTCCCTTTGACCAGCGATCTATATTCTTACCATCTCCCGTTGAAATTTGCACGGATTATGCTACAGCACACAAACTTGTAATTTTCAAGCCAGATGGTCATTTCACTATATTGTATTTTGAAAACGGGAAACGAGAAAATCATAAAAGTCGGAACATAGATGTTGTTCACAACAACTTTTAGCGATGGTTGAGCTGTATTTCGAAAATAAACACCGTGAATGGTGTAACAGACTGATGCACAGAGCATGTGTAGTACACGGTGCTGGGTTGTGTACGTCACAGAGTATTGTAGGATGTAGCGCCCTATGTAGTGTATGGTCTTACGTCCTGAATAATGCATGGTGTGACCCACAGTGTAATGGCTGGTGTAACATCTAGTGGAATGCATGGTGTGACCTACAGTGTAATGGCTGGTGTAACACCTAGTGGAATGCATGGTGTGACCTACAGTGTAATGGCTGGTGTAACATCTAGTGGAATGCATGGTGTGACCTACAGTGTAATGGCTGGTGTAACATCTAGTGGAATGCATGGTGTGACCTACAGTGTAAATCTAGTGGAATGCATGGTGTGACCTACAGTGTAATGGCTGGTGTAACCTACAGTGTAATGGCTGGTGTAACATCTAGTGGAATGCATGGTGTGACCTACAGTGTAATGGCTGGTGTCACATCTAGTGGAATGCATGGTGTAACCTACAGTGTAATGGCTGGTGTCACATCTAGTGGAATGCATGGTGTAACCTACAGTGTAATGGCTGGTGTCACATCTAGTGGAATGCATGGTGTAACCTACAGTGTAATGGCTGGTGTAACATCTAGTGGAATGCATGGTGTAACATCTAGTGGAATGCATGGTGTGACCTACAGTGTAATGGCTGGTGTAACATCTAGTGGAATGCATGGTGTAACCTACAGTGTAATGGCTGGTGTCACATCTAGTGGAATGCATGGTGTGACCTACAGTGTACTGGTGTAATGCATGGTGTGACCGACAGTGTAATGGCTGGTGTAACATCTAGTGGAATGCATGGTGTGACCTACAGTGTAATGGCTGGTGTAACATCTAGTGTAATGCATGGTGTAACATGTATTGTGATGTAGTTATGGTGTGTTGCTCACCTGCATACGACTGTAACTTTTTGTTGGCTGTGCACAACATGATCTGCTCCTCATCAAACACCAACTCAGTGTCGTCGTACGTGGAGCGGCGCTTCACCTGGAGACGTGAACAGTATACACGTGTAAACAACAGCAGTGTAAGCATGGCACTATTAACAACGTATGCATCACCACATTTTGTCAGTAATCCACTGTACATCGTTTATCAAAGGATGACCTATTCTATCTGAAGGGCAAGATCAACAAAGACGTACTAAAGAAGACATTCATTCTAGTCATGTCTCCTGGCTGTGTGTGAATATTCCGACACAAATATATATTGATTAACAAATCATTGACACGTAGTTTTTACTTTGTAGTTTACGCCCCTTTTAGCAATATTCCAGCAATATCACGGCGGGGGACACCATGGGCTTCACACATTGTACCTATGTTTAGAATCGACCCAACCCTTTTATGTGAAGAGCGCATGCTTTAACCACTAGGCTACCCCATCGCTTATGTGAGTGAGTGAGTGAGTGAGTTTAGTTTTACGCCGCACTCAGCAATATTACAGCTATATGGCGGCGGTCTGTAAATAATTGAGTCTGGACCAGACAATCCAGTGATCAACAGCATGAGCATCGATCTGCGCAATTGGGAACCGATGACATGTCTCAACCAAGTCAGCGAGCCTGACCACCCGATCCCGTTAGTCGCCTCTTACGACAAGCATAGTCGCCTTTTGGGGCAAGCATGGGTTGCTGAAGACCTATTGTACCACGGATATGATAAGATAAGATATAACTTTATTATCCCGGAGGAAATTCTTTTTATTTTGTATCAAAAACGGCCTCAAAATGAATATATACAAAATTCACAAAAATATACACAATAATTACATGCACAAAATGAATGCTGATGATTCTATACAATTAACCACATAGGTAAAGAGGCTGAGTTAGTAGTTATCGCATGCATGATGACTATTCAAAAACATTTGTTGCATTAATAACACGAATACTGGATGGTATGAAGGACTGTCGAGCTCTGTTTGTTTTAAGGGAAGGTAATCGAAAGCGGCGTCCAGATGGAAGTAGTTGAAAATGGTGAGATAAAATATGTGAACTATCAATTCTAATTTTAGTTGCCTTTTTCACAATCTGGCGCTCATAGATAAAGGGAATATACTCGAAAGACACTCCAGTAATTTTGCTGGCAGTATTAACAATTTTGAAAAGTTTGTTTTTGTTGCGAGCAGACAGACCCCATACCAACATAAAAAATTGTAGATCACCACACTTTGAATAAAGGTTTGATAAAAAACGGTCATTATGGTTTTGTCAATAGAAAAGTTTCTTAAGCGGCGAAGAAAATAAAGTCGCTGTTGGCCTTTTTTGTAAATGTGATCGATGTGTTTTGAAAACGAAAGTTTTGAATCTAAAATAACACCGAGATATTTGTAATGGTCCATGTCAATTATCAATTATAAGAGGATGTGGCAGCAGATGTTGCCCCCAGTGTCGGAGAAGTCGGGAGGCTCGTCGCCGTTAGTGATGACAATCTTGGCTCCCTGAGCCTCACAATCCATGTGCAGAGCACTGCGGCACCATTGCTTCACAGTCGAGTTAAAGTCGAGCTGGAGAAATAAAAGAGTAGATATATCCAATGTCCTAAAGACCGAATCCTTGGTTAGTGGTAGTGGTTAGAGCGTCCGCCCGGAGAGCGGAAGGTCGCGGGTTCGATCCCCGACCGCGTCATACCAAAAGACGTTAAAATATGGTACTTGTTGGTCCCTGCCTGGCGCTCGGCATTAATGGGTACAACAAGGACTTGACTGGTCGGCTCGGTGTCAGTATAATGTGTCTGAATGGGGTATTCATGCTTCACTGCGGCATGGTATCTCAGTGGGCTAGCACTATAAAACCAGCTTAAGTCTGGGCTAGTACAAGCAGCCGCACATACACATACACATACACACGCATGCACGTCGTCATATGAGCGAAATATTCTCAAGCACGACGTTAAACCCAATTTCACCTCACCTCACCAATGTCCTAAGACAGTCAGTGAATGAGTGATCTGAGTGAGGTTTTACGCCGCTTTTAGCAATATTCCAGCAATGTCACGGCGGGGAATATCAGGAATGGGCTTCACACATTGTGCTCATGTGGGGAATCGAACCAGGGTCTTCGGTGTGACAAGCAAAAGCGATCACCACTTGACTACCCCACTTGGCTATTATAAGGGAGGTGATATGATATAATGTTTTGTTTGACGCCACTTTGAACAGGATGGCTGGTTATATAATTTAACTCAACTGAAGAAAGGCCAAAGAGATTCTGATCTAAGACGTATTCCATCTGGGAAGAGAAAATACGATCCCTGGTTAACGTTTCTGTACAGGATTACAAGACCATGATATATGTACCATGCTTGAAACTGTTTATACCGATATACATTCCTCTTCTTAAGTTTAAGGGATTTCCGAAAGCTCCAGCGTTGACACTGTTTTAACTCGCATAGCTCAGAGCGCCCAAACTCCCAAACCCTCACAATGTGCAATTTATTTCAAGTATTCCCGTGTTTTCTTGGTTAGAATTGGTATACTGGTCAACTTATTGCTGGTCTTAAGAGGTGATTAAATGGATTGGGTGGACAGTTCCTGTGGATCGTTGCTTATAATCTCAATCATTGGAATGTCTGGTCCAAACTCTATTATCAACAGGCCATTGTCATATAGCTGGAATTTTGTTGAGTGCAGCATTAAACAAAAAAGAAAGAAAGAGAGGTGAGGTGAGGTGAAATTGGGTTTAACGTCGTGCTTGAGAATATTTCGCTCATATGACGACGTGCATGCGTGTGTATGTGTATGTGCGCCTGCTTGTACTAGCCCAGACTTAAGCTGGTTTTATAGTGCTAGCCCACTGAGATACCATGCCGCAGTGAAGCATGAATACCCCACTCAGACACATTATACTGACTCTGAGCCGACCAGTCCTTGTTGTACCATTAATGCCGAGCGCCAGGCAGGTACCAACAAGTACCATATTTTAACGTCTTTTGGTATGGGGATCGAACCCACGACCTTCCGCTTTCCGAGCGGACGCTCTAACCACTACACCACGGAGGCGGTCAGAAAGAGAGAGGAAGAAAGAAAGAGGAAGAAAGAAAGAGAAAGAAAGAAGAAGGAAGAAGGAACTCGCAAATGTGTACTTACCAAAAGACAGAACTGTCTCTGTCTAAGGAAGGACTCCATAGCTGTTTCCATGGCCTCGTTGATCTTGTCTTTGATGGAGGCGAAACTCGGGTCCACGGCCAGTAGGCAGCAAGCTGCAGGGAAATAAGTGTTTCAACGTTACCAGAATGTATGAAAACAATCAAATAACAAGATGCCGCAGTCTGATGTGTGGAGTTACACCCCTTACTCCTGACAGGAGCCGCAGATTGTGAGAGATCATATATCGTAGTTTGCTTTCGAAATATCAAAATATTAGAGTAAATTATCCCATTATATGATACACACGTACTGAATGAGCCTAAAGAGGATGGTTGCGAGGTCGGCGACGACACGGGGCCTGACCAACCCCATTAGGTCACGGACCCGTGAAGATCCGGTGTAGAATTGATCTTCAGCAACCCATGCTTGCCACAAAAGGCGACTATGCTTGTCGTAAGAGGCGACTAACGGGATCGGGTGGTCAGGCTCGCTGACTTGGTTGACACATGTCATCGGTTCCCAATTGCTCAGATCGATGCTCATGCTGTTGATCACTGGATTGTCTGGTCCAGACTCGATTATTTACAGACCGCCGCCATATAGCTGGAATATTTCTGAGTGCGGCGTAAAACTAAACTCACTCACTCACTCACTCCATTAGGTCACCTCCAACGGCCTGTATAGATTGCTGGAGAACTGGGGTTTCAGCGTTCGCTAAGAACGTTCGATTCCCCGCAAGGGTACAATGTATACCCATTCTGGTGTCCCGTCGTAATAAAGCTGGGATATTGCTGAAAGCGGCGTAAAACCCCACTCACTCACAGTTCTCCATGTTAAGCACTTTTCCGATATTCAACTCAATGCTATGTCTATAGTAGTGTATTATCGCCGGCGTGTCACTTAAAACTACAATTTACTGTGCAGTTCAGAAAGTGCGAAAGTATGACGTACATACTTTTGTACAGAACAATTGCAGTGTTCTTGAATATTTTTCATATATCTTTATGCAAGAATGACATATCAAACTAAAACATATAATGCATTCGGGTTTAAACAGTACGACATTATTCTAAATCGGTGATGCAGTTAATAGCGGTTATCTTAATAACACGCTGTGCATATAGTTTCTGAATCAGAAGTCCGCAGAGTTATTCGATGTTAATTAGAAATGGTTCACTGACCAGTTGGCGCCAAGAGGTGTATCAGAACTTATCTTAACCTCTCTGAGACGGAATCAGCACAACAGAGAAATCCTACAATAAACTACTTAATGTTTAACACGACTAAAGTCTTCGAGTCTAAGGTGGATTAGCTCTAGTATTTAATCGGATTTATCTATGTGCAAAGAGTTACATTGTTCGGCAAAATTCGGTGATATAGTATTAAGTGTTACCTATTTTATAATTGATGAAAAATGACTTCATGTTATTAAACTGGTAAGTTTCATAACTGAAAAAGATTTTGATAAGTCCTTTTCGAATGAATGGGTTTATAAATACCCTTTTAGCGAACACCCGGTCTCTTTGTACATGTTCAGTGATCCATTATAATTCACAGGCATTTTGCCTTTTAGGCTTAGTGGAATTATCATATACTTTGGCATGTAGGACTGAGATTTCTAAGTTTAAGAAAAGTGATATTTTCAATGCAGCTACATAATTCTGATATGTTCACTGCAGTAAAAAAAATATCGCTTTTCTCGAACTACTTCATGGCTCAGTGGGTTTTCTGTCCAGTATCGTGCTACAAAGCACAATAAATGGCAATGTAAACATATACATTTCACCCAATGCATCGGTCAGCACGCCTGGTCATCGGATGACCGACCTTCAGAGAAGAAAATTCGCAATGATCACCTGTTCACCGGGGCGGTGGGGTAGCCCAGTGGTTAAAGCGTTCGCTTGTCACGCCGAAGACCCGGGTTCGATTCTCCATATGGGTACAAT